CAGTTTCCCACAGTTTCGCATTGGTTTTGCGCACAGTTTTATTCCATTTCCCAATCTGAAATGAAAAATCTAAATAGTGAAAAGCTTTTGTGCGTCGCTTCGCAATGTTAGAAACTTTAATTGCACCCTCCCACCGCTTCTGAAGGCGACTTTGCTTTTGAGTGGCCAAAGCCGGGTTAATTATGCCAAAATATTTTGTCAGCTTCACGTGGCAGTTGACGTGGCAAGGGACTTTGCCACTGACAAAGTACATTAGGAGGGACTTTGTAGCACGATGCAGGGAGGGGAAGGCTGTGAAATCAGAACTTCCTTTGGCCGCCGGCTTTGTCCTTGATCCTGCTGCCAAGCGCCCATCTCACTCAAACTGACGTATACGCAATGTCGGCGTCGTGAGGTCGGGATTTCGCGTATACGCCATGTGGGTCAATGAATTAGTGCCGCCTCATGTCGTAAAATGCTATTTTTTTTTGTTATTCGTTTATTTATTTGCTTTTACTTGCTTTTATGCTGTATTTGTTAGTCTTTACAGTTGTTAAAAGGCAATGACGTAGTCACTGATTTGATAAGGCTTATTTATAGTTCTAGGAAGTTTTGTTCATCCGTAAAATATGTGAGTTTAAATATTTATACTTGACAAGTTCAAAATAGAAATTCCTTATTGCATTGTTTATGTTTTAACTGATAAGGAGGGGATTCTTTTTTTATGCAACTATTGAGGGCGTGCGGGTTTTTTCTTCTTAAAATACAATATGAACTAATTAATAATCAGCTTGCATTCAAGATACATTTACATTTTAATTAACTTCAATCTTTATTGCAGCAGGGGAGTTCCCTGATATTCTCCAGGAGAGTGGCTAGTCAGAGGAGAGATAAATTACACATGGTTTAGTTTAATAAGTTCCATCTCATTAGACATTCGTGGCAGCAAAACGGTTTCCCTGCTGCCCACCCATTTCAATTAAATATTATTCATTGCACTTGCTCATTAGAAAATATTTGCACATGTAATTACTTGCACTTCCCAGCCGTCGCACTCGTCTATATGTATAGATATTCTAGCGATATCACGGGCATTATGCAAGCTCACAGTTCAACTAGAAACTCACGCGATGTCGAGCTCAACGCAACTCGTCGCAGATTGCATTTCAAAGGCATTTTAATTGCACGTGAGTGAAAGGCCCGGCGGCGGAAAAACAGATGCGGAGACTGTGAGAATGTCATGACGCTGGGAAAGTTCTACAAATATTATGCAACTGGAGTGAAAGTATGAAGAAATCGCGGTTTTCCAGCAGTTAAGAGCTATTTTGCGCTCTCTAAGCTGATTTAATATCTGGGGATTTCTTTTAACACTCACACGATTTTATTTTGATATAAGAGGAAAAATGTATATACGCGCTGTATATTTGCTTTTTAATTTAATGTTCAAGAGGCTTTATGGGTAATTCTCATAATTTAGTAAAATACATATCCATTATATCTCTGTGTATTTATCTCGCTCCAGCATTTCATAACAATCTTTCTCCTGAAACCGCAAAATATACTTGCCGCTATTTATTTTCTTTGTCGAATATGTAGTATGTACATACGTGCAAAAAGATAAATGAAATTGTCAAATTTGTTGTCATTGCCTCATTGTGTTGTTACTGTCAGCGCTGTGTTTGTTTTCTGAAAACTCCAAAAAAGCATATACAAAGTTCTGCCGTTAATTATGACTTCCGCTGCATGTTCAATTATTCATGCTGAAATTATACCAAAAACAAAAACGATTCTGTTCCAGAAATCAATTTCTTATTTCCGATGAAGATGGGAATGCTTGTTCTTATAATTCTGAATTGGAAGGAGATTATTTTAAAATGATTTTAAAAATAAAAAATCTTAAAGATACACCAAAAAACACGAGCACCAAATTATCACCTTTAAAAAAAGCTTTATTTTATCTTTAAATAGGCAGTTATAAATGTAGTTCCCATGCGCACCGACATACCAATCGAGTTTCAAATACTTGCTAGCAGGCAGGCAACCGGGCCCAAATAGATGGGGGCAAGCAGGATAGGGACAGAGCTGTGGCCAAGCAATTTGTGTCGTTTTTGCCGTTTCATTTGGCACATGGCCAGTGCATCGGGCCAAAATGCAATCGAGTGCACGCTCGTCTGCCGGCCAGCCAGCTGCCTCCCCCCAGCCCCAGCCCGCCCCCAGAAATATAAATTACATTCCATTAAAAAATCATGCCGCGGCGCACAAATCAACATCAACTCAATGAACATAAATTGCCAAGACGAGCTGCTGGAGGCGGAGGCGAAGAGGAAAAATCAGTAGTGGAATCAGTGGGCGCCGCGTGGTTGGGTGGAGCGAATTGTGCGGTGGACAATGGATCGATCGGCCTTCACATTGGCCGCCATGGCGACGACGGCAACAGCGCCACGCACATGGCCAAAAATGCACACAGAACGACCCAAAGGAGGGACCGAATGAAGTGACAGGACTTTGTACTGACCATTAAGGAAACAGTGGAAAGGATACATGTTTGTTAGTTAGTGCTAAGTGATAAAAGTTGGTAAGTTTTTCTTATATTTTGACATAAATCATTGTAACTTTTTTTTACTTTTTTGATTTAAACTTTAAAGGTAATCCACTCAGCAATTGTTCACTTTAAACTCCGAAAGGTACCACAGTGCCGAAAGCATTAGGGACTAGTCCAACCTGTATCCCAGTGCTTTTGATGTCCTGCTGTCCGGTGAATCCTCAGAGCTCGGTCCGGGCTATTTTTGCTGCGTGGGCGCTGGTCGGTGTCACATATTTGGCTCTGTTATTGGGCCCTCGAGTGATGTTTGCAGCTAATTAGAAACTGCCAGGATACACACACTGCGCCAGGGAAAGCAATCTGCAATTACAGCTGCGAGTAACTGCCCCCGTGACAATGCCAGGCATTTGAGCCAAGTGTAGGCTAAGGATGCCGGCGGATTTCGCAAGTAGGTGTACGTGTAAGGCTACCAATCGATTCGCCTTTCGGGACGAGGACTGTAATTAATGGAGCATGGTTTAAATTATGCAAGGCTCAATCAACTGCGTTCGGGAGTTGCGGAGTGCCACAGAGTTGCCTCCTTTCAATTCAGGCCGTTGTTCCTCCTGTTCACGGCATGTCAATTTCCGCCCGAACACGTTGTTGGCGCAACGTTTGTGGTGCTGAATCCCAGATGCCACTTCCACATTCACTTCCTCCAAGGCGCCACATGACGTGCCGTTGATATTTATGTTGTCGCCATTGTCGCTGGTGCTCCGTTCCCTAGTCTCCTTTAGAGCGTAATCAGCAGGGCAAGGCAAAATCACAATTGCACCGCAGGAAGCCAAAGGATACAATAAGCAAGTGTGGCATGCACTGAAAAATAATCCTATTATGTGCCACACCTGAATTTTTGATTTAAAAAACTTCAATCATATTTTTCCTGCATTACAATTTTTTCTTTCTCAATTAAAGGAAATTTAAGCGTCGGAGTTCAAAAATATTTCCAAGTGTGGTGTTGCGGCAAAGCATCCAAAGGAGGGCTTGGGCTTCGGGCCAGGATGACCCAGCTTAGAAACGTAGTAGGACGAGATCCTGCCGGCAACGTGATGATGTTTACATGCTATGCAAATACAATTAATTCCACTTTTGTGGACAATCTTTGTGCCAGAAAAGTTGGGTGGGTGTCGATTGTCAGAGGAAATGTTGATACTGCCAAAGGCTCCTCGCATCTGTATGCCAGATGCCAACACCCTTTTGTTAGTTTTCTCCTGGGTTCCGCTTTTGTGACTGTTTACACCTCGACGTTGCAATGCAACTGCCACAAAAATGACTTGGATTGCAAAATTTTGTTCCTTATTATCTCCGGGCTGAAACAATGACGAAATGGTTGTAAATAAAACATTGATCCCAATATCGTAAATCAACCTTGAATGTAATCAAATCAGCTCAAGAGTAAATTCGCAAAAATTTCACAACAGACAGATCGACTTTTAAATGGTTTCTGGGGGAATTTGTTTCTCCAAGTGTATTCATATTCCCAATGGCCAGGCCCACATCGCGTCGCGGTGTCATTTAATCAGCCAGTCTGCCTGTCTGGGAGTTGCGCATTTGATTTGGGTGTGATTAAGCGAACTTTGCACTCCAATCACAAAATAAATTCAATTGGAAAGGGATCATGGGGCGGATTACGTCGCTTGTTGCGCTCTGTGTTTACATTTGCATTTGCAATGGGGGAAATCGTAAATGGAATTTCGCCAAATTGTATGCGAAATAAGACAAGATTCTATCTGAGATCTTTGGCTATATGCTGTTGAAATTTTAATAGTCTAAGAGCTTTAAAAGATGATAAAAATAGTGCACTTTATAGTAATTAAGTGTCCAAATTTATATGTCAATTAAAATGTTTGTAATACTTTGAAGTGTGAATATTACTGAATATTTTTATTGAAAATTTTACTTTGGATTGCCCAGATATGATAATAAAAATTTTTAAATGGAACAATAATCATATATGTAAATAAAAAAGGATTGGAGAACAAATCGAATACATCTGATCTTTATATATCTCAACAATTGATACGCTTCTACTTTTGATATATATTTATTATATCTAATTTTTAATCTGAAATAAAAAAATATCTAAAGAATTATGAATAAATTTACCGTTATACAATACCATTAAAAATCAGTCCATACAGATATGGTTAATGAATCAATCATTCTAAAACTGTAGCTTACGCCTATGGGTATGCAACGAAAAATGTGAGTCCCCATTAAAACCAAACCAACATTATTTTGCTTTTTAGGTTTATTGATGATGTTCGTTCAACACCTTTGTTGTTTCTTCGTTTTTTATGGTTTTTATTTCTTGTATATTGGTTTAACAGCTAGCTGTTGTTGCTGCTTCAGGTGGTGGCTTCTTAGATGTTTAATAAATCATTTAAAACTTGATGCTTCTGCTTGATTTTGTTGTACTTGCGAATATTATACATCCCAATTCAGCTTGCACTTCAAACTTTATTTATTTAACAACGATATGCAGAAATTGCAACTTGAATAACACATACATATGTAAATAAAAACATGCTTTGATAAATATATATGATTGTTAAGCCATTCAATTCAAATTACATTGCTGTGATAAGAATGGCAATTATGTTTTTGTTATTCTTCGGCGCCATCCGAGGATCTCAGAAATATAATCGAGCCCCCGAATAGCCGACAATGTGCCCCAGCACAGTTTTCAAGCAACTGGAGATTCCAGTCCAGCTTTAAAAGTTTCTATAATCTTTATAGTTATTCATTTTTTTTGTGTTAGTTTTTCTTTGTAACAACAATTCATGTTTTATGATAACATATGAGTTTTAAGATTATTGAGTTGTTCTTGGGGTTTGTTTCGGTTGTTTTGTATTGGGTATATTTATTTGCGTCATTTTTTTCTGGGTATACTTATCTTATTAATCATAAATATAATGTTTAATAATAATAATAATAATAATAAAGATAATAACATCGACCTTTTTTTTATATAACTCTTCAAGTAAACATTAAAAGTTTAAAAAAGCTGGCGCGATTTCAATTGTGTTCTGGGTTTATGCCTGTAGGGATTGCTGTAAAATCCACAATTTATATATTTTTGATCTACGAAATGACTTCTTGTATTGAAATCGCTTAATCATAATAATAATAATAATAAAAAAGAACTTGTGTAACATCAACAATTATTGTTTCTTGTGCTTAGAACTAAAAATAAAAATTGGCTTCCATTGAACATATTTTTCCATTCATTTTCATTTTCATTTTCATTATCATTGTTTTTGTCAAATCTAAGAGTAATTAATATTTTTTGTGAAGTGTAATTTTTTTTTTTTCATTTTTTTATGCTTGCTTTGCTTAGCTCTCGAAACTAAGATAAATAGAAACAAATTAGCCAAAAATCAAGTTTCAAGCAATTTGCTTCATAGATAGACAATTGTTGGGGAGTTGCGTGTGCGTAGCTCTTCCAGCCTCTTAGTAGGCGTGGTTGGCCACGAACAGGGAGCCGGATCCAGAGCCAGCGCTGCCGGCCTGGTACTTGCCGAGGGAGGCATCACCGTTGGCCTGCGGGAGGGAAGAAGAAAGGCGAGAAAATTGATTACTTTTATTCAAAATGTCCGGAAAATAGTATTCCTAATTACATACAAACACTTGGTCTTAATTATTACTTAATTTTAACTTGGCAAGCCGCTGCGGCAAACTTTCTGCCTGGCTCGAAAGTTTTCGCCCTGATTTTTGTTCTGTCCAAAAAACTTTATCCAGCCACCTGCGGCATTTTCACTTGAACGCATCTTGCCGGATACATCGTGGAACCCTCAACAGAAAAAGTTTTTGGAAATTTAATTTCAGGAGAGAACTTGATTTGATTACATGTTCTGCTGGAAATTTTCAAGTAGGCTTGGTGCAAATACATTTTAATTTTCAACCCTAGGACTTGGCAAAATTAAATTAGCTTAAAAGCAAAGAAATAAATCAATAAAGGGAAAAATAATGGTATCGAGGCTAAGGTATAATTTATTATAAAGTCAGTTGGTCAAAAGAAACATTAAACAACTAGTTTACTTGGTAATATATATTGAAAAGTCTGTAATATAAGCAACTGGGCAGATCCTTTGCGAGTGGAATGTAGTTCAATCCGTCGGCTGTCGTCAACATATCTGCGGCTAGAGCTTCACGCGATTCTTAGTTGAATTGGTGCTTGGCAAAGTGCTTAGTACTTGTGCTGGGAAATAAAGAGGCTGGCATTTGCGGCGAAAGACGGAATCGATCCGGCCACGTATTTTCCTTGGCAGGCCAGCGAATTGGCCTATTGGGAGTGGGAAAAAAGCGGGATTTAGGTAAGGATTAATAAAATTAAGGATTAAGAGGATTGGATTTAAGGCAGGCGAAGCAAGCAGGAGATTAATGAGTTGAGGGTGTGCGAAAATGGGTATTAATGGCAGGATGTACTAGCCTTTTCCAAGCTTTTGGTTAAATGTATATATCCTTTTCCAAAGTAATGAAAGTTCTTGATAATATTGATCTTGATGGTACTGGATAGTATTTGATATACCCTTTTCAGTATTGATGATCGTCTTCATGCAAAATTTCTCCAGCAGCAGCCCCAACGACAGTTCCAGGTTCATAATTGCCGCACGCGGCCTCAGAATTCGCCTTATTATCAAGGTTTTTTTTGTTAAATAATGCTCATGAGATGAATTATTAGTTTGGAGTAGGTATTTAAAGGATGTTATAGGAATAAATAGGATGTTATAGGCATATAGAGGATGTTATAGGTACATAGAGGATGTTATATTAGTCAATATTTACATAATTTCAGAAATTATTTCATAGCTCGATAAGAAAGTATTGACTAATCGCATAGATTAGAGCACAACTTTTAATCAAAAGGTATTAAGATAATGTATTGATAATGATATCGATTTAAATTGGCTAATGAAAGATTAAAAGTTTCAACGTAAGAATTATAATGTGGAATGAGGATTAGGGTAGGATAAAGGTAGAAATTTCCTATTTTCATATTTCTGATACCAAGTGACCAAGTATAATTTTCCAAGCAATTACCCTATACCATATATATCCACCACTTAAGTCATAAGCTATACATAACCCAAACTTAAAATATATATTTGAGCCAAAACAGAAGACTTACCTTCGCGCGCTTAAGAAGCTCAGCCTGACCGGCAGCGATGTTCTCCTTCTTGCCGCCCCATGCGCGCAGCACGGAGGCCTGCAGGGCACGACCGTAGGAGAAGGTAAGGGCCCATGGGCGGCCCAGAGGAACATTGTTGATGGCGCTCAGGTTGACGGAGGCCTCCTCCTCAGACTGACCACCAGACAGGAAGGTCACACCTGCACAAAAATACGCATTAGATCAAACATTAAAATGTCGCAATAATCTAAACTGACCAGTAACGGCGGCGGGAACGGTGCGGCGCAGAGCCAGGACGGTAGCCAGACCGATCTCCTCGGGGGTGTTCTTCTTGGCGCTCTGTCCGGCAGTGACCATGTTGGGCTTCAGGAGAGTACCCTCCAGGTAGACGTGGTGATCGTTCAGGGCCTTGTAGACGGCAGCCAGAACGGTCTCAGTGACCTTCTGGGCGCGGTCCAGATCGTGATCACCATCGGGCAGAACCTCAGGCTCCACAATGGGCACGATGCGCTGCGACTGGCAGATGGAAGCATAACGGGCCAGAACGTTGGCGTTCTCCAGGATCGACTGGTAAGAGGGGGTGTTCTTGCCGATCTTCAGCACGCAACGCCACTTGGCGAAGTCACAACCGTCCTTCTTGTACTGGGCGCAACGAGCGGCCAAGTCATCGAGGCCCTGGGTGGTGACCTCGTCCTCAGAGCCGAACAGTGGGACAACACCCTTGTCGACCTTGATTCCGGGAATGATGCCCTTCTTCTTCAGGACCTCGGGGAAGGGAGTGCCGTCATCGGTCTTCTGGTAGAGGGTCTCGTGGAACAGAATAACGCCAGAAATGTTATCGGCGAGCTTGTCGTCCGAGCAGAAGAGCAGCTGACGGTAGGCGCGACGGTTGTCCTCGGTGTTCTCCACGCCGATGTCCTGCAGGCGCTTGCCCATGGTGGCGACGGACTCGTCAGCGGCCAGAATACCCTTGCCGGGGGCAACGATGGCCTGAGCGATCTTCTTGAGCTCATCCTGCAGCTCCTTGCTGGGGTAGTTGAAGTAGGTGGTCATTTTTGAGATTCGAGTGTAGTTCTGAAGGAAGCCATTTTGGAATTTCGTCCGTTTCGCAGGTGAATTGGTGGTAAATAGCGGTATCGTGCCCCATTGTAGCAGTAGGGTGTGTGAAGATGAATGGAAAGAAAGGAATAATTGGCTCTTTAGTATATTTGTTATCGAATTTGGAAACGGTTTAAGAAAAAGAACGCCATGGCCTAAATGCTGAATTTTGATAATTTTGAAAAGGACCGAAAGAAAACAAAAATTTTGAGCAGTTCTAGTAGAGCAATCTGATGTGAGAGAGAAGTAAACTATGTGTCTGGTTTGAAAAACTTCCAAAAATGATAACGATTCATAGGCATGCTCATTTTGGAAAACAGATTTAGGTCCATATTTTTTTTAGAAACGATTTTAATTTATTTTTTTTACTGCAGAATTTTTCATGTCAACTTTAATTTATTTGATTGCTTTTTATTATGGAAAATTTCTGCTTTGTATGCTAGTGTTTTTCCCAGCTGATATTACAGCGCCAATTGAGTCATGGAAAGTTATATAGCGCGCATGCACCGAGAACGTGACACTTTGTAAAGCCTATCTCTCTTTTTGCCCTAATCTCTCTCTCTCACTAGGCGTACATACTAAATATTTCTAGTACATATACTTTTAGCTATTCACATCCAATAAAAGCCAGCAAAGAATAAATAAACAGGAAATTAATCAATAAAACTATAAAAGCACACTTTTATTTCTAAATTGGTAATAAATATTTAGATTTTATTTCACTATTTTAAAAACCGAACCCTAAAAAATCAGTGAACCTTTGAAGCACGAACTAAAAAAACGAACCAACCTCGACGATGAATTTTTAGTAAATGAACAAAGTCGCGGAAACCATTCGATCTGATGTAATCAAAGTCATGGAGACTTCCCTCTCGCTCGCCCCTCTTTCTCTTTCTCGCTCGCGTAATTCGTGACGTAGGGACTTTCACTTTTATTGGCGCTGCCAACGCCTCTGCCGCCGATGGCAGAGATGCGGGCGTGGGGCGCATGTGTTGGGGCCTGACATTGAACAAGGTCAGGCAACAATGTTGCCTGGAAACATGTTGCCAACAAAACCATGTTGCTGACGAAACGCGCATAGAAATTGTCGAAAACCGAAAGTCGTGTGGCGCGTGTGGAGGAAAAAAGACAGAAATATTGTGTGAAAGGGTGGGAAGAAAGTATCCACTAATATGTAGATACATATACGAAATATTCGCTGACTAAAATCATCAGTTTCAAAGGGAAGTTTTGACTTGTTTGACATTGACAGTGAGCCAAAGACTGGAATGGCACAAATGTCAGGCAATAGATTAGACCACCTGAACTTATCACGAGCGAGTGTTTACCAGTCTAGCTATATTTCCCACGCCACATAACACTTCACAGCAATATATCACCTATATGTGTCTATACTTAGATGTATCTATTGAATGAGTTGAATTTTTTTTGACTTAGAGGACACACACCTACACTAGCCGGCAATCAAATGAAGACTGAAGCACTTCCCGAACTGGGTGATATATATATATATATAAGAGAAAGAAGTCATTGGAAAATAAAAAAAGCATAACATCAACGCATGACAACAAAAAACAATTCAAATAAATACACTCTGCTATCAAGGAGCGAGTATAAAAATAAAATAGACACATGTTTCTGCCTGAGTGTTGGTATATTTTTCGAAAAAATCGACAAACAAGCTGATAAAACGACCAACAAAATGTAGATACGATTGGAAGCTATTAAAATATACATAATGTCATGGAATATGGTAGAAGTTGCTTCGAAAAGATGAAAAACAAGTTGGGCATGCTATCAATGGAAATTTTGAATCGAAAACGAAACGAGCCCCCACAGGCGGTTCCAAAGGTTCAACATTATCATAACGCGATTTTAGGTCCGGCCTCCTAGCAGACAGTGGGTCAAAAGAACATCTACTGGACGAGATAAGTGTGATTACTACTAATGTACTACTACTAACTGACGTCAATCGGTTAGTGATAGTATGAGTAGATAGACAGTAAGTTTTGAAAACAAGGAACCAATAAATAGAAATGGAATGAGTGGGCGGACACGTACTCCTATTCCTATACTTTTTTATATGCCCTTTTGGTTGACCTCAATGAGTATAGCTTTTTGTCGAATGATTTTAATTGTTTACTCAAGCTTATAGTGGAATAAATACATTTTGATGAAACAAGAAATCATAAAACAGGAATCGTATGATCAGCTTCCATAATAATAAAGCTTAAATGATCTTTCGAGTATGTTTTCTACGCAGGTATTTACCAGTGACCTTCGAGGAAGGTCCTTTCTACTCCTAAACTGGTTCCTTTATGTATTCAAGACCAAAACCACCCTTACTTCATTGTTTTTTTTTCTTGTGGGTACTTTTTGCAGCTGTATTATTCCCTACAATAAAAAGCTAGATACTTGAGTAAAAAGTAATGTGTGATAACTAGAATAGACGTCAACAAACCGAATAATTTACGATGACGTTGGCTAATTGAAATCTAAACGAAAGTGTAGAAAAGAAAACCAAGAAGATAAAATATATAGATATATACGTCTATTTATAAAAAAAAACCGCAATAGCTACTACAAATTGCAGTTGAAACTTTGCCAAAAGCAAATGAACTCAATAGGAAGAGGAAAAGAGTGGGATAGTGTGTAGCAGGAGAGAGATGGGGCTACATAGAGAGCCGGTTGAGCCGGTAAGGAAAACTACTTTTGAGAGAAGTTGTTACCCGATAAGGTTTCTTATCGCATGCACTTCCCCATCCCCGTTCCACGCAGTGCATAGGTCAACAACATTCTAGAATATACAACGTATCATAAAACTTCAACCGCAATGAATCGTTGGGGTGGAGAACCCCATACGCTCAACAAATACACACACTTTCTCACGCACCCGCTTGGAATATTCTGTAAATTTCGATTACGAAACAGCCCCAGAGAAATGGGGACTATTACGCGACTTTTCAGCTGCACTCGAGGCACTTTATGAGCTTTATTCTCTTTCAATTTATGGGGAATATATATTCTGCTTTTTTTTCTTGATATATTTTTATTTTGTATCACTTTTATATCTCACCGAACTGGAAACTGAATCTGGGAGGTAGCTGGCTACTGGCTGGGTCTGCTGCTGCTGCTGCACTGGAGGAGAGCGCTTGACGCTTTTATTTTCGGCTCGAAACGGCTTCTGCTGCCTCTGCTGACGGCGACGGCGACGTCAACGTGAAATTCCAAAGTGAAACAATCGAGACATGGCGAACGAGACCCCAAAAGGTTGTTTAGAGGTCGTCGCTGCCGTCGGTGTTGGTCAACCGACTGAGCCAAGAGCTCCAAATACCCGTATCCCGTCGAGGCGTTGTCCAATTTAAAGCTATTTTTCTCAGCTTTTAGCTGGTTTCAGAACCTGGGGCCCCTGCCCAAAAATTGGTAAACATTGGGGCAACATTTGGAGCTTGAAAGCTTTTATTTGGCGGTATATATTTAAATATTTTTATAAGCAACCTGGAATAGTGATTTGGAAGCTAGTTTTAGGACTTTAAGAGTAAAAGAAATTGAAGTTTATCAAGTCCTGTTAAAGATAGTAATTTAAAAATTCGTAACAGGTTTTTGAAAAATACAGATTCTATATTAAAAGTTTTTTTAAATTTGTTCATATTTTCAACGAAGTCTTTAAAATATTGAATCATTCATAAGTCCCAATAATCAACTAAGAAGTATTATTTTTTTAATGGATTCTCCTTTGTTAAGGAATTAAAATTAAGAAAATAAATTTAAACTTCTTTTTTAAAACGTACACCACCTAATACTGCATACTGTAAAATTTTGTTTCGTAAGAAATAATTAATTCGGTACCTATATTTTCGCGATAATTAAGAGCGACCTGCATTTTTTTGGAACGGTCAATGGATTTTTCCCCGTCAGCATCAGGCAGCCCCGTAATCAGGAGCAGCGAGGAGTGGTAGGAGCGGCATCTAGAAAAAGCGACTTTCACGCCATGCCTGACCTCCTGCAATGTTAAAGGCCTCAACCCCAAGCACCCAGAGGCGAAACAGCTGATTAAAATATAGAGAGAACGAGAGTGTTTCAAAATTTCCCCCTATATTTTATGATTTGAGTGAAAGAGAAAAGGATATCCCAACAATTTACTCTCTTTCGAAGGATATTATTTCTCTTATGAACGTATTGGTATGGTTTTGTTTATGAAAACGTATGTATTTGTTTTAAAATCCATTACTACAAAATTTTGGAAAGCTTACAAATCCATTTTTCTCGAATTTTTCAAAGATTGATAAAAAAACATCAAAAAGTGTCTTAGAAGCTTATTTCATTGCTCTTACCTAACCTAAAAGACATGGTATTTTTTCTCTTCGTTAACCTTGTTCTCGGTGCCTCGTGCAATGTCCTTCGTCCTTTTTCGTTTCGATGTGACTGCCCCAACTGGCTTCGCATTTTGGTCTCAGGATTCTGGCTCAGTTTTCAGTTTGATTTCGTGTGTCGGCCGGTCGAGTTGTGTGGCAACTGATCGGCACTTGTCGCCTCACACGTGTTGCGTTCCACTTGCGCTGCGCGATTTCTTCGCACCCGCGGACACCGTGGCGTATACGTTACGTATTGTGGTGCAGCCAAAAGCTGAATAGTATTTGTAATTATGTGAGTCGTGAGTGGGAAATGAAAAATATAAATTCAGTTTCAAGCTCAACTAGTGATTTAACTGAAAATAACGGAAAATATAAATAAGAGAACGTGTTGGGCAAAGAATGTTGCATAGTGTGAAAAGTTTTGGTAAGAGCTCGTTGTGTGTGTGAATATGTGGTTTTATACGAAACTATCCAACTAAGCGGGCTTGGTTCAAATACAAACATTTTTATAAGTAAAGATTCAAGCATAGAACTTTTTATAGTACGTATAATATTTTAATAGTACGGATGTAAATAGATATGTATATACTTTGGGTGTGAAACCATTTTTTGATTCGTATCTTAAAAAAAACATTACCAAGACCATTTTATTAAACTTTATTTACTCTCTTGCTCTAAAAGTTCTTAAACAAAGCGAAAAAATGTTAAACAGATAGCCCAGTTTTGGCCAAAATTTAGTGTACATATTCGTATGCAGATTTCTGTCCCCCGTAGTCATAATATTGAGCAATTGATGGCAGCGCGTTTAGCTTGGCTTTGTGGCATTCGCCTCATTAATATGCGGCAGGCGACACAACACCCATTCACTCGCCCCCCAATCTAGCACCCGCTCTCCCTTCAGGACACACACACTAGGACAATCTTCCTCCAGGGGAGGAATCTTCCAGGGTGTGTGTGTGTCTGGGTTTTGTCTCGTCCTCATCTGCATTCGCCCGAAATGAAAATGAGTATCCTATAACCGACTGAGCAGCATCCTGGCTGCTGATGATAATGTTGATTCCTGCCTTCCGCAACAATTTGCTTTGAACTTGGAACACCCCTCCTCCACCAGACCCCGTTACAATCCAAATACCCAAATCCGACCCCAACTCCGGCTCACATTTCTCTAGCTTTTGTTGTGGCATTTATAAATGCCTTCTACCTTTTCTTCGGCTCATTTTTTGTTTCGACAAGGACAAAGTGTTTATGAGGGCCGTCGGTCAAGTTGGTATCTGGAATTTAGTCTAGTTTGGATTCTGTGGCTTGCGGCAGGAATCTCTCTTCAGATGCTAAAATTTGTGGTTGCCAAGTGTTTGGTAACCTGAATTTTCTAAGCCATTCGGAGAATGGGTTCAATTTTTAGTCCCAATTAAATAGAAAGTGCTTTTCTTTGGTAATTATTGAGGCAGAATGTGAATCACAAAACCTTGTGGAATGATTTTAGTCCAACTTTTAAATCTTGTGACTTCTTCAATACAATATATTATGTATTATGTATTTTGCCAGCCAGTTTCTCAATTTATTGATGCATTAGTCTATTATTTGAACATCTGTTAGGAAATGCCATCGCTCATTACAAGCGGTATGCCGCAACATATGCCATTAAATTTAGGGTCTAACCTTTTTGTTTTGGAGATTCATTTGATGCCCTTTCCCCGCCTGAATTCAAGCATAAATTATGCATAAAAAAAAAGATAAATAAAAACAATGAAAAAGGGGCCTTGCAAACGAAAACGAAGGTCGACGCAAATCAAACAAACGGCCAGAATCATGAAAATGTTGTAAAATAATTTCAATTCATTCCTTTAACTTTTCGCATGTCTTTCGGCCCTAAATGTTTGCCACTCATTGTCATGGATTGGTGCGGCTTGCTGTTTTTTTGGTCCCCATTGAAAATAAGGAAAAATTTGTGGAAAATTTTTCTGTTCTGTTTTACTTGCCTTTGGCAAAAAATTCGAATGAAACCCCAAATAAAAATACCACAATGTACAACAATAATGTCCTTAAAGTTTTATTTTTCCTTTTTTCTGGTTTCTATTGTGTTTCTAATGTTATTTTCATTCTCCATATGTGTCAGTCTGTTTAAATAACCTTAAAGTACTTACTTAGTAAGGATTATGGTATTTAATATTAATTTCTATTAACACAGATTTTGGTACTACATTTTATTATCTTAAATTGCTAGGATGATATTTTAGGTCTGATTAAAGCAAAGAAATTATATGAAAAATTAATCTTTTTGTTTGAAGTATAAGAATATACAGCGATTAGGCTTTCATAAATAACACTTATACCCTCAAGCAAAAATAAGCATATTTTAGTTTAAATAATACTCTGCGACTAAGCTTCACTTTTGTGCAGATTTGTCTAATGATGTTATAAGCTGCTATTATTAGGCTCCCGCTGGCACTCGTATATATTTGTTCGTGTAAAATTGAATAAGCAAAGTCAAATAAAGCCTGGCTTCGAGCAAGCTTGTCCATTACAGTGAAAAGACCATATCAGACTGGTTCCTTTTGAGATTATAAAACCCAAGCCCTTAGGAATTCGCAACTCCCTAAGACAGGATACTTTTGTAGAGGCACGGGCGATGGGTGGTAGGTGGCGGTTGGTTAGGCAGTGACTGGGTGGGAATCGCATTGACTGTTTGCTACAATTCGCAGTGAATGGAATTTAGAGCTGAATGAGTGGCAATGGTGGCGAATGAAAGGCGCCGAAAAGGAGTGGGAGGAATTGATAATAAATAACGTAAAGTAAGCGCACATGAATGCATTTTGATTGTCTGCTGTAGTTTACGGCACGTTTCCTTTATTTTTTCAGCTGGCGCAGTTGCAGCTCCTGGAGTACTGGGGCAAAATGGAAATGAAAGACGACAAACTCGCAGTGCTATATCTTAAGGGGGTGGTGACCGGTATGGGGCGGGGACAACTTCCTTAAATGGTGCACTAATGTAGAAAAGAAAAGCATTTTTTTATATTTATTTGCTTGCCACTTTGCATGGAAATTCCAACTGCAACGAGGACATCGCATTTCCTTACTGCAATTTTCCAACGCGCGCGCTCCGGTTTCTCCCCCCATACCCCTATTTCCCCGTCAGCCCACTCTCCAGGAACTGTCGCTACTATTTTCCTTCTTCTTCACATTCCTCGTTTTCATCCCGCTTCCTTTTCTTTCCTTCGCTCGCTATTTTTTGAGGCCATGCAAAATAATGTTTCATGTTGCAATAAATGTACGATTCACTTGCATGCCCCTCCCCATGAATTTCCTTCATTTTTCCGTTGCTGCATATCCCTACGCCCAGGCATGCCACTCAACAAAAAATGCATAAATGAAATAAAGCCAGGCCCACGTATATTGCTCATACGCAGTGTAGTACGCAGTTATCCTTGCGCCCATTTCGCCATTGCTGTGTGGATGTGTCTGCAAGTATTTCTCCCTTCATTTTTCAACAGTAAGAAGCGCGATTTATTAACTCGCCAGTCATATTTGATTCTTCAATAAAGTTACCTTGAATATAATATTACAATTTGTCGGCCCAAAAATATTTGATATTTCTTTCTGTACGAACGGATTAATTAACGAAAACCTTTTGATTGAGGCCTTACAAGGCATTTACTTTAATACTTTGGCTGAGGGCAATTCTATAATACTGATTTAATTTGTATTTCGGTCTTTTCTGTTTTCATTTGGCAGAGCTCTTCAATTTAATTAATACCCTTGTTGCGGCTTTTAATTTCGGTTTGTACGCGGCTTGCTATAAAATATCCATGCCTAATGAAGCGCCAAACGTTTTCGATTTCTCAGACCCGACCTTGTTTGCTGTCCTTGCCTGATGGCTGACGTCTCTCCTTTTGCCTTCCTGTTAACCCAACTGGGTCTAATTTGGCTGCCCCTTCGATGTTGTTGTATTAATAATTCGTGCGTTGCGTTTGAGTCACGTTTTGCATGTCGCAAAATATTCGTGGCGCGTTGCCCTTGTCAATGTTGTCATTTCCTGCTCATCGTTGTCTCTGTTGATTTTTGCATAATTTTTTGGTTTGCCCAGATATCTTAAGGATTGCGACAAACGGCAACCCAACGACTCTGACGACAGTACTCTGAATCAGAAAATTCTATCGATTCGGCAGGAGACCAAAAACCCATAATCGGGATCAAAAGAGTCCAAGGAGAAAAAGACCCAAACAGAGAATCACACCAAGAAGATAAGATATCGCCCAAGTTGTTCATGGTGGAATGTTTTCATTTTGTTCGCAAGCATCAGAGCATGAAAATCAACATGCGGATTCCACTTGCCCCTCATTTTGCTTCTTGCCACTCACACTTTTATGTCTGGCTTTGTGCTTTCTGCACTGAGGACTCCAATAGTTTCTTCGAAATGGGAATAAGAATTGGTGAAAAAATAGAGAAATAAAATAGAAACAAATGTAATCACCAAGATATTAAACATTCAGGTTTATTCCGTGGCAGTAGTGGGTTAAAAAACATAAATCGATTTCGATTCTAAGGCAAATTTTTTCCAAAATATTTAAACAATTAAGACCAACTTAATAAAATTTTATTTATATTCATGATTTTGTGGATAAAGTCTTGAAAACCACTTAGGTAGTTTACCTTTGTTCCAACTTTGGTGAAAGAACTTTAATTTCGCTTTCTACGACATGGAACATGAAATACATAAATATTTGGCCACTTGGCCTCATTTCCAACCAAAATCGGGCTTCAATTTCTTCGAAAACTTACAACTTTGTTCTTTCGAATGCTTCTTCCATTTTTTGCCACCTGCTCGGTGGCCAAACTTTATGTCGTATTCAAAAAATAAAATAAATTCGTATGGATAAAGTAAATCCCCGACTCCCCTAAACTTTTTTCAAACAACAGGGGAAAACTATTTAAATTTTCTATGATTTCTTTTTCGGGGTTCGGTGATATGCTGGGCAAAAGAAAAAAAATAAATGTTGGGGAAACTTTGCTATAAATAATTTTTGCATTTTTATTGTGCATTTTATGCATTTTGTGCGCGATTTCGATTTGAAGTTGGGCTCTGAAATAAATATGAAAAGTTTTATTTATGTTTGTGGGTTGGTGGCGGAAAAGCCAAGCAAAAGGGGCGTGGCCGGTGGGTCTTTTCCATTGGCTTTTGGGTGGCTATGGTTGCTGGGTTGGTAGTTGTAGCCGTGGGCGTTATATTTATGACATTTGTTTGCCAACAACTTTCAATAGCTCAATCACGCCACCCGCACATGCAATAGACCAAATCTTTGGCCCTCTATTGAACTGCCACACTTGGAAAAAGTGCCAATGGCATTTACAATTTGGCGAAATAATTTCAATGTTTTACATTACCCTTTTTATGGTAAAAAGAGTATCAGAGGATTGATGGTTTACAGAGTTTCTATTAAGACCTATTTTTATAAACTTGTTGTTTTTTGGCACCATTTTGTTTCAGTGAGCCTAATCATCTATCTTTTGTTATTATTTCTTTGCCAGCTAGAAGGCGGAACATCATCAATGTGAGTGCTGCGGATTGTGTGCTCTGCGACTAGAGCTCCGCGCCGCTTGGGGGCAATGAAATCACGGAAGCTGCCAAAAGGCTTCGTGCTTTGTGGCCTCAACTGTCTAACGTTCGTCTACTTTCCGCTCGTCCTGCCCATCCTGCGATGCTCTGCCGGAGCAACGCCGGCGGCCAGCGGTGGGTCAAAAACCGGCGACGACTTCGACTTCCGGATGCAGCGGGTGCGGAATGTACTCAAGGAGGTGCCGCTGATCGACGGGCACAACGACCTGCCCTGGAACATACGCAAGTTCCTAAAGAACCAGCTCAAGGACTTTCACTTTGGGGGCGATTTACGGGAACTGGCTCCATGGTCCTCGAGTGCCTGGAGCCACACAGATCTGCGCCGACTGAAAGAGGGTATGGTCTCCGCCCAGTTTTGGTCCGCCTACGCTCCATGCTCGTCCCAGCACCTGGATGCCGTGCAACTGACCCTGGAGCAGATCGATCTGATCCGCCGACTCGTCCAGCTCTATCCACACCACATGGCCCTGGTAACAACGGCCTCTGGCATCGAGCAGACACACAGGATCGGGAAGATAGCCAGCTTAATTGGGGTGGAAGGTGGCCATGCCATCGGAACCAGTCTCAGTGTCCTGCGAATGTTCTACCAACTGGGTGCCCGATACCTAACTCTCACCCACACCTGCAATACACCATGGTGAGTTTCGACTAACAAGGGTTCTCATGTTGACAGTAATCCCTTTTAAGCTGCCATGCAGTTTGTTTTATAGTTTTTGGATGTATAGGTGTAAACTTTGAAGGTTGCAGTCAGCTGTAAATTCTTTATTAGCTAAATCATTTTTATTTGAAAAGTGGAATCGATACTAAAAACTTTTCATTTCCAATTTATCATGATGTTAAGCATGCTATTGAAATCAGCTTAATAAAAAAAACGTATTTCAGTTCCAAGAGGATTTAAAATTGTTTTACTATTTTAAAGACCTAAATTATAGCCAATGATTAAAATAAACTATTTCTTTAGGGCGGACTGCTGCAAAGTTGACGAACCGGGAAAGTATCCGCACATAGGCGGTCTCTCGCAGTTCGGAAAGGTGAGTGATTTTCCTTGTCCAAAATTAGAAAATATATTACATGATAACATGACCCTCATTGTGCAGCTGGTAGTCAAGGAGATGAACCGACTGGGTATGATTGTTGATCTGTCACATGTTTCGGTGCCCACAATGCTGGATGCCCTGGCCGCCTCACGGGCTCCCCTTATATTCTCGCACTCCTCGGCACACGCCATCTGCAACAGCAGCCGCAACGTACCCGATCATGTCCTGCAACGCATTGTGAGTAGTACATTAAGAAGGCATTAATCTGGCGATGCATTAACCCCCACAACCCCATTCCCATTTCACATCCATTGCAGGCAATAAACGGCGGACTGGTGATGGTTGCCTTTTACCCGCATTTCGTCAGCTGCTCGGGACAGGCAACATTGCACGATGTCGTGGGTAGGTTCATTTCAGTTCACTTCTGTTCGGTGAAGGGTCAGTGGGCGAAGAGTTGAACTATTAATCTTTAAACTTGTGCTTTTTGGCCCGCCCTTTAGCGCATATCAACCACATAAGGGAGGTGGCAGGCATCGATCATGTTGGCATTGGAGCTGGCTACGACGGAGTCAACTTGTAAGTACGAGTTCGAGTTTTTCCAGCTCCGGCTCCAGCTTCAATTACATTTCATTTCATTTGCCAAATTATGGTCTCTGTTTCTCCCATTCTTTTTCGGTTCTTCTGTATTTCCCTCTGTGCGCCTTCTCCACTTTCCATTTAAGAGTGCCCAAAGGACTGGAGGATGTGTCCAAATATCCGCATCTTTTTGCTGCCCTGCTCGAGTCTGATAAATGGTCGGAGGAGGATATTGCCAAGTTGGCTGGCAAGAATCTAATACGTGTATTCAAGGAAGTCGAAGCGGTAAGTTCTCAGCAAAAACTACACAGAAATTGCTCACTTTTCTTTGGCATTTTTCTATTGTCCAACGTTCTAACCCTCGAGGATGCTTTAATACACTGAGAGAGAGTAGATCAAACTTGGAAAATCGTATTTCTTACCAAATAAGTCACAAAATGTAATAGTTCAGAAATGTTGGTTGGAAAATCTTATTTTTTGTCTTCCTTTAAGCTGAGTAAGCCACTCAAGCTTCTTTCTATAAAAAAAATTTGAAAGGTATTAAATACGTTGTCCCTACATTATTATTTTTTCCCGGTTTTTCTTGGTATTAGGCGCGCACCTGACCGACTTAAAGTCGGATCCAGTGTGGAGAACTAAACACACATTTTTCAACAAACAAACAAAGAAGTTGGAAAAGGACATTGGTATGGTCTCCTTTCTCGGTTGTTATTGCAGTTGGAAAATTCCTTTCGCAAGGATAAAAGGAATAATGTGGCTTTGCAATGGAATTTGCACATACTTGGACTAGAAGACGGAAGAGCAAAATGGGGAGCAATGGAAGAATGGTGGGTGCAGGAACACTGACAGGACATTGGCTTGGCGTCGAAAAGACGCAAGTTGTGAAATAATTTTAAAAGGATTTTCAAATGCTTATTCCGATATTTATACACGAGCCTGGCCAGCAACAGAAGCAACAGCTTCAAGGAGCCTGCAGTCTGTTTGCAGGATGCGGTCAGCCTGTTTGCTTTCTGTGCAGTTTTCGCATGGATACTGCAGAATGTACTAGAGGGAATTGGTTTTCCTTTGGTTCATGGATTTGGTCCTGCCAGGCTTCTGGTTTCGTTCTCCATGCCGGCTATGTCTGAGCACTTCTCATGCTCAAGCAGCATTCAATTTAGATCAATACAGGATGGGCCAAGCCCCATGCTAGGAAGTTACTTCTCGGCATTGAACGGCACTCGAGCGCCGGGTAGTACCATCCAAAGGCTTGCAAGTGGGTTTGTTTTTCAGTCGAATGCTTGGCTAGTTGCATGTTTCGATGCATAAATGGGTGGATAGATGTCTAAACGATGGGAGAACACTTCAATTTGCTTTTAAAAAAGGATAGTCCCCCTCTTATACTCTTTAATTAACGGTTAAATGAACGAGTTGAAATTAATCAAATATAAATTAATATTTATTCACGACAATATGCGCAGTTATTGCTTTCTGCCTATTCAAACATGAATATATAAATATATATAAATAATATGGAAATATTAAAAAATTGCGTTTTTTTTTTCAATTGAATATGCATTTACGAATTGATATTATGCATTGAATAGCAAAGAGTAACAGAAAAAAATTATTTACAAAAAACTTTGCCTTTGCCAATTATATATTAAATTATATTGAACCTATTTTTTTGGTCCAATCCATCGAGATTAGCTCGATAGCTGGGTTCATACATTAATTTAAAGATTGTAGCTCTAAATCTAGATAGTTGAACAATACTCATTTGTTTTTAATGTAAGGAAAGTTTCGCCTTTAGCCGAACTAATTTAAAGATTTAATAACAAAAATAAATCATACGCCCCCTTGAACGCAGGAAGTGGTCGTAGATTTTATTGCTTTTGCTGATTATAAAAACCTCCTTTGCCGCTGCCACACCTCCCCAAGCCCCCTTCGCCAAAGCAAAGATGAGAAAGAGATGCCGCAGCATTTTTTAATTTAGCTCTTGTCTCTCGCTGACTGAGAGACGACCCGCAAACTTTAATCATATTCTCGGGCCTGGACAGCCGTCCCACTCCGCTCACACAGTCCCAACATTGTAATTAGTTTTAGTTCAGGGTAGATATATATAGTATATATATATTATATAATACGTGGAAATACTCAAAGTCCGTTATTACGAGGCGCACACTTCCCCCATCAGTGCAATCGTAATGGCGACTACATAAATGAAGGCCACCAAAGTATTGCCTACTTTGCAGCGCAACTGATTAAAATCGTCCAGCTTTTATTGCGCTTTGCACTCAGCAGACAACCCTATAGAATATAAAAATATATTTTTACTGCTGTTTATTACATGGCCATAATGCTCATTAAGAATTGTATTTTAATACGTTTCTGTTTGTTTTTTCTGTGTTCTGGGTTCGCCCTTATCCCTGCTATATGTGGTAAAAAGTAATTAAAAACGTTACCCAACGCCTTTTATCTTGGCCAAAGGCCCAGTCAACGGAAAAGGGAGCCAGAGACAAACCTAAAGCCATATATACTTATCCCAAAGACATTCGTTTTGGTTTCATTGTTTTGCATCAGCCCAGTCGAAAGTTCGTTGAACCCCAACACAAATACCCCAGCCCCGGTTCTGGAAGCCAGTGAAATAAAATACGTTATAGCCTACTTATGACCGTCGCCAAAGCTGGGCTCGTAATGCAATTAAATAATAACGAAAAGCGGGTCAAATGTTCAATTATTAGAAGCTTAATGCTGTTGTGCGCCCCGAGTTCGGGTCGTGTGTACTCGGGGGACTTGGTCGGTCATGGCTGTGATAATTAAGCAAGTCATAGAAATTAGGCAAAAGGCCATTTTAATGATTGCCGTCTCGCACAAGCACACCAGTATACAGAAACGAGGGAAAGCGACCACATATATTATATATATCCTATAACATACCCTTTCAACTGGACACGCATTTGGTCAAAATAAAAGCCGGGCGATTCCAGTAAACCAATTCGCCAAAAATTTGTTGCCAAAATGATTGAAATTCGGACAATGTTGTTCATCTTTATAAGTGCGATCCATTTTATAAGGATATGAAAAGTTGTAACAATCTAATTTACTATAATCACTTGACCTCCTTTAAAATCTTGAAACATTTTCATCTAAAAGCGAAACTTTGTTGTAGTTTGGAAAGATTTATCAGGCGTTGCTGGTTTCAGGAACACATTCCCAAGGACATTAAAGTCAACAACGACGTCCACAAATTTGTGGGCGGCGATGGAGGCTACGCCGAGGAAAGGGCGACTAGTGGATCTGTTCCCATAGCCATAGCCATTGCTATAGCCATGAACATGATAATTTTCCCGACGCCAGTTTTTATCTACACAAAAGCAGCAGAGGCGGTGGCAAAGAAACGCCAAGGATTTCGGTCCCTCTTGTGTTTGTGTAAATGTATCTTTTATTTTAGCCTTTTATATCTAATGCGAGAGCGTGGAAAGGCATTTGGCACGACACATCGCCCAAGTGGCGGCATCGGAGGCCTTTGCGTTCGGGCCATGGGCAAATGTCCCCGGCAAATGGCACCAATTTGTGCGAGACAAATTCATTTAAATATCTTTTGCCCCGTCGTGTGTGAGAATTTTCTTATGCACTCACAAAAAAGGCTGGGTAGTTCATTTTTGAGTTAAGCAATATAATTTTCCAATAATATTATTATAAATGAATATATTTTTCTTTACTATTTCAAGTTATTCTCTCAAGTGTGTGTAAGAGCTTAGGCGCTGACCTTCTTACAATTGATTTGGCTCTGGGTCTTTGGGTCTTTCAGAAAAGCTAGAAATACGTTCCGGTATGACGGGGGAAATCCACATTCATTTTCCGCTTTGAGCTCTTCACTCAAACTGTAACTGTGAACTGTGCTTTTCATTTTCATGGGAAACGCAGCTCAAAGGCCGGAAGAGTCTAGCCAAAAGGCAAAAGGCACAAAGTTCCTGTTGTTGTTTCAGCATTTCTGTTCAAGAGTGGGTCATGCACGGCACAAAGTGCAATGACTGAGCCAAAGCTGACGTTTTATTGTTGTTTGTGTGGCAGAGCGCACATAAAGCTTCATAAAAAAGTCGTAAATTCGATTGTTGTATGGCAAACAAAACCCAGGAAATGGGACCAGCCGACCTAGGCCTCACCGCCACCACCCCTTCAAAAGGTGTTTGGTGTTGAAAACAAAACATTTTCCCCATTTTATTTCTTTTTTTTACCACCCGTCCCCCATTTTATTCCTTTTTGCATTTTGTGGCATTAAATGTGCTTGAACTTTTCCTTTTTGTTCAGATTTTGGGTTCTCTTTAAGGATACTGTGTGAGGGTACTCTGTGTGCTTGTGGTTAGGATGAATAAATGAATGTGTGTAAGCAGAAAAGTTTTTTTTTTGTGACCAGAGGACTCTGTGGAGTTTTTCTGTTCCTATTAGGTTAATAAAGCATGTATCTTACGGGCTTAAAAGCTTTTAGGGAATAATTTTAGCATAAGTTCGTAAATTATGATTTTTATGACATGGTGTGGACAGTTTTTTATGAAAATGAATAGTATTTTTTGATTTAAAACTTAAATAGTGAAATAGTTTCATGATTGCCATGCCGTAATATATGGGGAAATCAATCTTTGCAACGAGTTTTAGTAATTTGGCTTTCTTTGTTTACCATATAACTTACAGCCAACTTGGATTTTCGCGCCGAAAGTTGTGAGCAATATTAATGCCATATGAAGAGTACGCGAAAAGTTCCAAGAAATCATTTCTGCATTTGAAAATTCAAACAAAACTTTGGCAATTACGCTAAATAACTTTTATAAGTTGCGCCAGCTTGGTTTTAGCGTTATGCAATCAATTTTCATCAATCAAATGCAGCTGTTGACATACCCACACACACATCATTTAGCCACAGTCCTCCCACCACATGCCCCGCACAATCTTGAATTAATAATTTCTAATGGACTTTTAAACAAATGAAATGTACTTATGTATTTGTAGGTACGCGATCAGATGGAACTGCTGCGAGTGCCACCCATTGATCAGTCAATTCCAGCCGAAGACATTATGGGCAGATCCTATTGTCGTTATCAAGGACCAAGAACGTGATAATTTCTTCATCAGTAAACTTCATCCCGATATACCCCAGCTCCCACGCACATACATATGTACGTATGCATACAGTTTCATTCAACGGAGTCCCGTGGCGAGAATGGGAAAAAATTATGTCAAGCGTACGTGTAAAGTGAAACTTGTTTTAGGTTAATTGACAAAGTTTTCCAGCTCTTGTTCTTGTTGTTGATGCTGCCGTGTATTGTTTGCCAGTGTGGGTATGTGTGTGGATGCCTGAGTGTGTATAAACATGACGGTGCAAACATATATCCATATCCACACACACATGCCACACTTGCAAAAACGCAGACATTTTTCAATCGCTCAGAGCCGAGAAGCTGACCAGCTGCTGTTTTCTGCTTCCAGACAACTTTGTGCGCAGCTGGCAGCGCCCATAAACAAATACAAAGTGGCAAGCTAGGAGACCGCCACGCCCCCAAAAACCCTCCACCATCATCGCCCATCAACCCATCACCCCATCCATCCCATCCTCCCCACATTAACCATCCAAGCTCAACTAGCCAACATTGTGTAAATATCATTGCCATGTTTATTTTCATCTCTAGATCTAGCTCTAAGTTGGCAGCGAGAGGACAAGCTGAAAAAAGTAGCATTAATCCATAGCACACAAAGGGCAGAAAAAGTAAAAAAATAATAGGGAAAGTAAAGCACATTTAGCCTCAAATTAATAAACCGAATGAGAGATGAAATATGGATTCAAGAAAAGGAAACAAAAAACCCACGGATAAGCCCAAAATAAAGCACAGAGTTAGTAAGAAAGAAAATCTTGTTTTTCATCGGATATTTTTTCTATGAAAAAGTTAATAAAGTTTACAATGATTATAGCTAAAAGTTAATAAAATTAATGTTGAATTCTTATACCATACTCGAATTTTCGCCGGGCCATCAAGGATCAGATTGCGACAAAAGTTCATTAATTTGCCTTTATTAGCCCGGCGCCCTCAACGAGACGATGTAATTAAAAAACATTATACGTTTAAATCGTTTTTAATTTTGTTATTAACCCAAATGAAATTCCCATTTAATTAGTTAATTAACATTAAACATTTAATTAGGCGAGGTTTAATACAAATTGAGGATAACAAAAAAATGAATGTAATTCAATGCACACATGGAATGTAACCACAGATTTTGCATCATTTGAAAAGCTTAAATACGAATCTTTTAATCAATATGCAAGTAAAGCAGCGAATAAACTGAGAAACTCAATATGGTTAATAGTATTCTATAATTAATAGATCCATGCAAAATTAAACCCGCCAAAATTGCAAATAAGTTCACAAGCAAACCGATTTAACGGCAACTAATTATAAATGAGAATTGTAAAGAAAACAAATGCAAAAAAACCATTTAACACGTATATCTATGCATAATCACCCACACCACACTCTCATGTGTAGATATATTTTTTCAATATTTTATTTAATTCCGTAATCAGGTTTGCATGTGCGAAAATGGCATATTTTTCAACAGGATTGAAAACAGTTGCACTATAAACCAATTTTCAGCTCAATTTATAAATTGAATCAAATATTTTTGTTATACAAGATGAGAAACAGGATAGATTTAAAGACATATTTAAAGTTTAAAGTTTAAACAGGCAAGGAGCGAAGGATAACAAACAGAAAAGAATAACTCATGTGATCAAAAATTAAATTAACTTACATATATATACTATTACTACTTATATATTACTATGATAATTTAATGTTTAATGTGACACAAAATAAAGAAAACAATTTTCAAAAATTCAACCATTTTTACTGCTGATTGAAATTGTAAACCAAACTGAAATTTATCGATTATAATTAGAGTATAATAAAATGGAGAACTAAATGTAACCCTATAGAAAAGAATATTATGCACACTGAATATGTGAACAGTGTCGACCCCTGTAAATATTTGTATGAATACCGATCAAATAGTAACAATAATTGTATGAAAAGTATGTCAAGTTGTGAAATGGAAAATAACCAAAAACCAGCAAATGATAAATAAATTAATTCATATGTGTATAATTGAAGATGTCGTAAATGGCCAGCAGAAAATACAAAAGGAATTATAAATAAATTCATAAAATATAAAAACTATACTGAAATGCCTTTGATTTAATATTTTGTGGAGAATTCGCGGAAATTTGTTTGACTTTATTTACTTTGTACTCACGAGGAAGTCATTGGGTGTAAGTGGAGCTCCTCAACAGCCATCAGCACTTCCAGACCAACTTCCCCTCTCGACTGCCATTGTTTTTGTTTTATTCTTATTGTGATGATAGCACTCGAAGAACACATTCAGCAAGCACTTGGCTCGCACATCCTTCCCCCCACTCATTTATCTGTCTGGATGATACTGCCATCCTGTCAGGGTTGGCTTGTCAATTCCAACGTAAAAATAAAAGGATTTCCACTTTTCAGTCTCAGATCTGTTTCAGTTTCAGTTTGTTTATATCAGCGTATTTTATATACCCTAAATTGGGTAAGATAAAACCTCCTGTGTTTGCCAGCGTAATTTATTTGCGCTTTGGTGGCCAAAACAGTCGAAACACTGAAATATCATGAAATTTATCTCGCCATGAGGCGAAGGTCAAGCATTTGAAATCCCGCTTTTCGCAAACCACATAACTCAATGCTCGTAAAACTTGCAAATATTTCACATTTGTTTTATTTCTGGTTGGGGTTTTAATGCTGCCAGCGTAAAAAACTATGCATCAAACGAAACGAAATGTGTGTTTTACATAAAATTTCAATTAAATGAAATAAAGTTTCAGTTTCGGGTGCGGGATTCGTTGGGATTCGTCCTTGGAATTAGCAGCAGTCATGGAGCGATGTGATAGAGGACCCGATTGCCGGGGGCTGGCAAGGCACGTCTCCTTTAAATCATCTCGCTGGCAGCTGAAATGAAACTCGCAGTGGCGGGAACTTTTGCTAAACATTTGTTACCAGCAGCAATACCACTGGCACTACCAACAGCCATCACTTACCAGTGGAAACTAATAAAAGTAATAAAAACCGAGCTGGGAAAAATCGAAGCAAAGTGAAATGAACGAAAGTAAGCTGAAAGCCAAGTTACTTCTAAAAGGTAAATTGAGCAGAAATCTAGTGCAGCAAGAAAACATTTTTACTTACAGTAAACAGTAGAAGTTTTATATATCAATACTTCAGTTATAATATAAAAAATCTATATAATTTCCAGCAGCAAGAAAAAGGGAACAAGCTAAAAATGTTCATTTTAAAATGTTCTTTTAAAATACGCACTAACTTTGAAAAACAATTATTTTCGACACTTTGTTATTGTTTTCGTATCAACTTTGATTTGTCATCTACAAACACTTGGTAACACAGTTTCTCTCCAAAATCCTCTTAGAATAAATCAGGACTTGCCAGCTCTGAAAGGACGAGCGGGACCGAAACTCAGAAATAATAAATAAATATAAGAGGGCATGCGAGTGCGTTCGAAGAGGAAAAAAACCAGCAAAGTGAAATAAAAAAATCATACTAAACATTTTTAGTTTCCAATGACGATTTGCAGGCCCCGGACAGGCCGCACCCACTCGAACTCACCAAGACACTATACCATCAACCACCCACCAGCTCGCCACAAACATTGTTGCCGCCTTATCCTTTCCATGTTCATGCCCCGACTTTTGGTGGAAAGCAAACCCCCTTCTGTCCCACAAAGAGCCACCAAAAAGGATTGCCCTACGCCATAAATTGTTGTATTTTATTGTCCAATTTCTTTTTATTATTTTTCTGTATTTCTTTTTTCTTTTCCTGGGTTTTTCGCGTTTGGTTGCTTATGCTTCATCTAGTACTTTGTTTTTTTTTCGGGTTTTCATTTTCGGCCAACAATACGTATGCGTAACGCAGCAAACATTTTAATGAGCGTTTGCATAACAAATGTGGTTTTTCGCATTCGTTGAACCGACAAAAATATTATCCACCCACCCAATCACCCAACGCAACCACAACACACCATCAGGCTGATGGAGAATGGCAGAATTTCCAGCTCAACTGAAACTGAGTAACTGTTACATGCAATTATATTTAATGAGGATGTTTATTGTATAACTCACCCACACACACGGCCCCTTGATTGTTATGATGATGACGCTGATGATGGTATCATGATTTTTTATCTCCCTGGCAAGCCCATTTCAATTTATAAGAATTGATTTTGTATTAAGTAAATTGAATAATTTATAATGCAGTGCCAATCAGGCATTATAAAATCCGCATTCATATCTGTCGCGTCAGCAGCTTTGATCCCTGGACGTTGGAAAATGGTCATATTTTCCACTATGGGGTTGGTTAAGCCTCTTGTAAGCTGCGAGCAGATGGCCTAATATCCTGGCCACACCAGCTGACCACTGGTCGGGGCTTTGTTCCACTTTTCAATATCCTTTGGAACAGCTTATACCCATTTCTGTGAACTTTGAAGTGTTAGAGATTTCAAGCACTGCAAAAGTAAGAATACCTGAATATTATATACTTTATGAAAGTAAACTACTCTTAAACTTATTTTCATATGAAAATTTAAATTTATGTGATGAATAAGTATGTGAATTTTTGTTCTCGGTGCTTGAAAGTGAGAAATCTCCTGATTCTACCATATGCTGTTGACAACCGCAAGGCAATTAATGCTTAGCACCACAAATCCTTGCCACAGCATCGTAAAATATCAAAAAGTTTCCAAGGAGAGAAAACGGAGCTCTACGCCGGAATGAATCCAATTATGTGCTTAATCACTAAGAAGCCTCAGCCAAAAGGATCTACGGATGGAAAGGGGCGAAAAAGTGGTCGAACGTCGTTGACAACGTCGGGATGTTTAAGTGTGTGAAGTGATGACGATGGCGACGTGTTGTCAAAGTGACAAGTGCCCACACACTCGTACACTGGCACACTCACTTACTTACTTACATGCTCACTAACCCAACCATTTCCACACTCGTTTAGACTTACAAATAAAACCAACGTCGCACTTGAAGATACTGTAGTTAAGGTAGTCCTTAAAAAAAAATAATGGTTAATATGTTACAAAAAAAATTAAATATTTAGTATATATAAAGAAAACACAGCCTGAAACGAAACCTTTTTTTTTAAATAACATATTAAGAGTCAACATGTGGTATACTTAATATAATATCTAGATAGAAAATTTACATTTATGTAGGAAAAAGATTCTTTTAACTGTTAAACACTTTATAATCCCTACTAACATTTTTTTAACTTAAGAATAATATGCTTAATAAATATTCAAATAAATAAGATTTAATAATAATAAAGGCCAACGTGTCGTATACTTAATAGATCTTTGAAATTATGGAAGAATTTAACTTTATATATATTTTAATTTGTTAGCTTTCTTCTATAATTTTAAATAAAAAAAAAAAAAAAAAATTTATATTTTAGCTAAAGCCAAGCTGCCACATCTCAGGACCGGAACACTCGTTCTT